ATTCAGGTACACATTTATTAGAGTTTACTGAACCCAACACTTCTGTCTGTCAGGTCCAGACTGTCTGAAGACAAAAATGTCTGAACTCCGCCTGTACTGTGACCTCCTCGTCCAGCAGGTCCAAACAATCCAATCACAGTACAGCGCTGACTCAGAGACCGCGCCGACTTCTGAGGTAAGAAACGGGGGTTCTTTTTACCTCAAACTTATCTTTACAATATTTCATAGTTGGACTCAAATTATAAGAGTTTCTTTTTTCAGTACCTAAATTATATTATTTTGCTTTATTGTGTATATGAGAAAGAAATTATTTAAAAAGGAGACATTTTACCATTTAAAAAAAAAAAAGGAACGTTTAGTGCACACGAAAGACCCATCAGGCAGAAAGATTACATCTAAAATTAGATCAAAACTATTTCTCAGTTTGAAGCAAGTATGTGAGTAAAAAAAAAGATGATTGGTTATTCGTCTGTGTGTCTTCAGGCCTCGCTCCTCAGTGCCACATGTGCCACTTTCATCAGGACTCTGGAGGAGTGTATGACCCTGGCCAATCACAGTTTGACTCCTGACCTCCGACCTCCTGAAAGGGTAATTTCACCTTCTCTAGCTAATCAAAAGCCTGTAATTTAGGTTTAGATTAATAAAAAAAATAGGTCAATAATATCTATTTTCTCTAACTCAAAAGTTGTTTAATTATTCAGTTACAGTAGATAAAAGATGTTTAATACAACATGAGTAATAATATTCAAGAAGAAACATCCTCAGTAAAATAAAATACAATTTTGTATCTTTGTTGACACGACCGATTTTTTTCATTTATATTCATTTAAGTTTCACAATGTGCCCGTGATGTTCAGCAGTACAGAGTGCTGTGGTGCACAAAACCAGAGTCATTAGGCCGTTCTGTAATTGGATAGAAATATTGTGTAGTTGTAGACTTGGCAAATAACAGTGTGGCATAATTGTTTTATGGTAGATTTTATTTTATACTCATACACTCAGGGTAAAACATTGAAGCAGATGAGACAGGAGAGGTTAAGAAAACAAAAACCTGAGCAAAATGTTATCTTCACTGATTAGTTTACTATATTTTTACAGTAAGAAAGAAATCGAACAGAATTCAATAAAAATGTTACTTTGATCTTTTACTTGTTTAATTTATAAACAGACCAATTCTTTTTTTTATAAGGTGATAACTCTGTTTTGTATTTTGAAAGGTGCACCAGTCACTCAGGTTACCCTCACACAATGCACAAAAATGATCAAACTGTTCAGTCGATTTCCATTTTCAGTCTCAGGCACTTTTCATTTCCTTTTACTTATTTTGTATTCTTTTCACTGTACTTTGAACATTGTAATACCAATACCTACAGGCATAATAAAAAAAATCTTAATCTGCAACAGAATAATTCCAATAATGCTCAAGACGCAGGTCTTTATTTAGACGTGCCAGATGGAAATAAAAAGTTAGCGAAGTGGCTTAAAGTCTAAATGCTTTCTCATTTTACAGCTCATCGAGGGATCAGAGATATTTAGAACAAAAACAAAAGTGAAGGTCTTGAAATTGTTATCAGGTTTTAATTGAACTTAAAAAAAATCTAAACAACCAAATGTGTCACTTTCTGTACAGATGAAGCGGTCAATCAGTCACCCTGGAACATACAGCTTTGACAGGTGAGTGAAACACGTACACAAACCATCATGAACTTAAAGTTGTAACAAAAAAAGAGGGGGCTTAAATTAATTCAAAGTCACATTTAAAGTTTCTTGTAGACTATACTCAAGTTTGTTTATGAAGCATATTTATTACAAACATGTTGCTCAAAGATCTTTACGTGGGAAAAACAAACCTTGGATGCACCAGGGCGATTCTAGCTTCAAACTTTTATCCAGGCTCAGCCTCCAATCATAATGTCATGCATACAATGCCTTGCAGTTACAGCTTTGTGTTACAACTTGCCTTTAAAAGCAATTCAATTCAATGCATTTTCACAGATTTAAAAGTAATAAGCTGGTTTTAGGGTGGATCGTTTAGTCCGAGGCAAAGACTCAATCAGAGTTTTCAAACTAGAATTTTTAGGAGGAAGTTAAAGAACAATAAAGTAGATACAAACATGCACAACATTGTTTCAGTATTACTACTTAAAGTAACATTATTCAGTACAGACACCGAAAAATCACCCTGGACAGGAAGCAGACTTTTACATGAAAGTTTTTGAATTCGTACAAGCTTTCAATCTGACCCTGTTCTCCAAATAAGAAAGGGAAAAAAATCCAGTTTACTGGAATGCTGATTTTGGCCTCCAGGAGGCAGAAATGTAGTATTTTAAATATGTAAATCTGAACTGGCACAACTCAGTGTAGGCTTTACTACAGCAGGTACTGAAGAGATCTCACAGTGTACTGGAGGATGGACACGTCACACACTGATTATTTTTGTCACATATTGGCATTTTATAGTCCGTGTGCAGTGCTTTGCACACACGTCACCTTCTGACAGCAGAATCACCATCTACCTGAGATCTAATTCAACAAAGTGACTTGTTTTGTGTGTAGCATGATTGCCTTTTTTAAAAAAAAATATCATGTTTTCTTGATGGATTCTGTAAAAAGTAATGTCTCGTTCCAGTGGTTGGACTGAGATGCATGGTAGGACACTTTTTAAAGTAATGGTGTTACATATAACTGTTACTGGGAGATGTTAAAATTATAAAGTAAGTGCTTTTTCAATTGCTGATGACTGCTGCATCACATAAGAATGAAATGTTAGGATATTTATCGGACTCAACTTCATTTGTTCACTTTAGTGATTTAAAATCTGCTGACATTAATGGCTAGCATAGACAGCAGGTATTATTAAAGCAAGTAAAACCTGTTAAACCCTCAAGCGACTGCTATTTTAGCCACTGAAATGACTGAGTGGGTTCATTTATGACTCCATTAGATTTTGTACAGGAAACCTTTTAACTTTTTCCTTACAGCTTTATGTGTTAATGATGCCTATACTATTTACTTTTCCCATGACAATATTCAGTTATTGTTTATCAGTAATATGTTTTGGGCACAAAAGCGTCAACCTCACAAAATGTCAGTTTAGTTGTTTTCATCATGAGTTTGGGTCT